GTTGTTTTTGAAAACTGTTCAAGGGCCTAAAGCATCTATGCATCATCTCAGAGGGCAGAGATAAGAAGACTAAAATAAAATGAGTGTGTTAAAACATTATCCAAAAAAAAAAAAAAAAAATCCAACTCAGATCTTTCTCTGTCACTCACTGACTTTGAGATTCCTTTTTCTTCCTGCTCAGTGGGATTTGAAATTGCTAGAAATATTACTTCTCTATATTTTCTTAATATTCTCTTTTCCCAAATGGAAGTTTTCATAGTAGTTAAAATGTCTCCTCCAACAATATCCATATTTTGGGGACAGACAATTTGTCTTTTTGTTAATATACTGTCACACAAGGGACTACAAGTGGTCCCAGTCATTAAGATTACTCACCTTGAACTTTGCATTAGCTACAGTGACTAGAACAGAATTCCCCGCGTACATTCCCAGGGAAAAGAGGTAATTATAGTCCACCACTTAGAAGAAGGTGTGTAACAGAATGTTAAGTAAGCAAAGATGGATGATAACAAATGTTAATTTTCTACCAAAAAAATGTGTGTGTGTGTGTGTGTGTGCATAAAATGTTTCCATAGTGGAATGTAATTTGGGGGATGTTGAAGAGGAATTAGCTGATGTTGCATGTAGGAAGAACATGCAGAGAGTGACTGTGATGATAGTCCCCCAAAATTATTGCCACTGATTTCTTGCCTCTGTATCCATATATCCTGCTTCTCACATGACAGTACAGATCCTAATTTCCTTTCCCTGAATTTGAGTACATGTTAGTATTCTGCTTGACGAACAGAATGTGACAAATAATACTTTCTGAGACCAGATTCTAAGAGGCCACAGTTTTCGCTATTACCATGTCCTCTTGAGCCACTACATTCCAGAACCCAGTAGCCACACTATGAGAAGGCAGAGCCCACAGCCACAAGCAGCATCAATTCTAGCCACCTCAGTGACACATGTTGAAATTTCCATCTTCAGATTTCTCTAGTCCCAGGCTCAACCTGACAATAACCATGTGAGAGATGATCAAGAGCGCCTGGTAAGTATAGTCTGTATACAGAAACTTATGTGGTAATAATAAAATGTTGTTTTAAGTTGCCAAGTTTTGAAGAAGTTTGTTATGAGATAATAGATGACAGGAACATTAGTTATCATGATAAACTTTTTTTTTTTTTTTTTTCTGGCCCTTTCCTTCTTCCTTTTGCAAACAAAGATATGATACTTGGAGCTGGAACAATTACTTTGGGACCATAAAGGAAATATCAAGATATTTTTAGAGACCTTGACACTGAATTCCCTGACTTCAATATAATGGAAAGAAAAATTTTATAATTGGGCTTTTCATCACATATTTTCATGAAACCAAACTGATACCTAAATACACAAAATTATACCATAAAGTATTGTATTTGCTAAATAGAGGCTGCTGGTTTAGCTTTGAGTTTTTTTGGACAAAGAAAAAGAATCACTAATGCAATTAAAAAATTGTAAGAGGATAAAAAATAAAATTTAAGCCAATTCTTCAATGGGAACCCAAGCTTCCACTCCTAAATTGAAGGAAATACTTCTCATAGGTCCTTTTGTAAACAAAGATAAAGAAACAGTGTACTGTGGGTACAACTTGCTTATTGTTAACAAGATAAATATAACCTTATCTTTCCCAGCGATCTGCTTTGTAACACTGCTCTTAAGTGTTTTTGTGTCTTTTGGGTAGATACCTAGGAGTGGGATTGCTAGGTCATATGGAAGCTCCATGTTTAGCAGTTTGAAGAACCTCCAGTTTTCCATAGTGGTTGTACTCATTTACTTTCCCACCAGCAGTGCAGGAGAGTTCCTTTTCTCCACATCCTCACCAACATTTGTTGCTAGTTGTCTTAAGATGTTGCACTCTCCTCCTCCCTGTTTGGATCCCTTTTTCCCTCCCTCCCTTGCAGAATGTCTTATATTTATGATTGCCTGCTAGTTGTGTTGTTTTATTGTTGTTATTATTATCTTTTTCCTGATCTTTTATTTGGTTTCCATATATTCCTCCTATAAGTAAAACTATTTCATATTTTTCTTTTTTCTTCTGGCTTATTTTACTAAGCAAGCCATATATAGATTTTCAAACTCATATTCAATAAGCCATTCTACTTCTATCTAGCTGCATGATTTGGGACTGGTTTTTTGATCTTTCTGAACCTCAGTATCCTTATCTACAAAATAATGATCTCTCAAAGAGTGAGAGAGGACTGAATAGATTAGCAACTTTAAAGTATTTAGTACATTAGTGTCCAATTAATCTGAATTATATGTTATACGTGGAGAATAGGAAATTGTGGAAAAAGAAATATTGAAAAAAATGAATGTAAGGAAAATGATGGAGTTAGAATTCATTACAAGGTCTGTTAGGTTCTACAGTCTGATTTTAATCGTGGCTAGAGAATCTTCAGACTGACAGAGGATCTCTGTCTCAGATTACAATAGAATCACTCATGGAGCATCCTAAGTGTACAGAGATGTAGACCATTTCCCATGCCAATGTAACATGATCTTTTGAGGGTGGGATGAGAAAATATATACTTTAAAATATTTCTCATAGGTTAGGAACTATGATATCTCATGTAGAAAAGAAATCTTGCTTCTCAACATTTCTTCTATAAAGAGTTCATTTAGTCCTGGTAATAGTTTTGAATTTCAGTTCCTCAGATATAATTGTTTTTTGTATCATATATCAATATATCATAAAGAAATTAAAATAACAACAGTAAATTTTTGAAAGTAGTAAAATTGTGAGTAGATATCCAGAATACATGTTTTGCTAGGAATGATATTACATACTTGATATGCAGCAATTTTAATTTCCCTTGTGAATGCAAGAATAAGTTTGCTAAATCTTACTACCTATCTGCCAAAGTCCACTTTACTATGGCCTGGGTTTAAAAAACATAGCATATTGTGAAATAAAATTCACTATCTTAAAAACAATACTGAAATTCTTCAGTAAGGACAATCCAAAGAATTGAGACGAGTCTGTTTACCATATTCCAGAAAAGAAAAAGTTATCAGAAGGAATGATCTAGAGTTCATCTTTTCTGAAAGATTTATCTATTAATCTTAGCTTAGCACATAATATATCTGACATGGAATTAGTATCTACCATATATGAAGAACTCATAAAAGCCAATAATAATAAAAAAAAAAAACACATAATTAAAAATGGCAGAGGATCTGAGTAGATGCTTTCTTGAAAAGAAATATACATGACCAGTAGAAACATGTAAAGGCGTTCATCTCTTAATTTTTTTTTTCCAATGAAAACAAATTGAGATATGACAATGCACTTGTGAGAATGGCTACTATCCATAAGACAAGAAAGAACAAGTAATGGAGATAACATGAAGAGAAGGAAACCCTGTACAGGGTTGGTGGGAGTGTAAATTGGTGTAGTAGTTATGGGAATCAGTAAGGGAGAATAGGAAATATATATATATATAATCCTATCTGATCCAATTATTCCACTTGTGATTCTTTAGCCACAAAACACATAAGCACTAACTTGAAAAGATGCTTGTGCACTCATGTGTATTATAAAAATATTTCCAATAGAAGAACTAGAACGAACCTAAGTGTCCACTGATGGATGAATATTCCAAGTATGGTGTATATATGCACGATGGAATATTTTTGAGCAATCAAAATGCACCTAGCAGAGAATGACAAAAAACATAGGATTTCTGTATGTGGTACATATAGAAAACAAACAAACAAACAAACAAACAGATGAACTAATTCAAAGGAAACAATTTTGGATTGTGACTAATTAGTGGTTACCAAAGGAAGGGGTCAGATGGGTGAGTATATCTGGCAAAAAAGGGCATTGTTATGGTAAAGATAAGTTGGACTTGCAGTGGTGAACCTAATGCAGTATATATTCATGTTGATTTTGAATGATGTACACCTGAAACTTAGGCTATGTTATAATGCAATGTTAGTTCAGTAACAAAAGGAAAAAAAAAAAGAAATGTAGGGTATTGGCTTCATGGAAATTAAAACTAAAATATGCAGGAATACTGGGTATTTCCTCTGAGTAACACTTGTTTAAGAGTTGAAAACAGCCTGATCCCTTTGAAAGAAGAAATATATTTTCAGGTTAGTTCCTGCTTGCCTACTACACAAATATCCTGACATAGGGGAAAGCTAACTTGTTAAGCCAATCACCAGCTAGGCAAAACTAAGTTGGCATTTTGGTGGCCAAGTACTCCAACTTACTTCATGCTTAAAGATTACCTGGCCATGCTTTGTTGAACTCTGGAGTGGTGTTAGGGTTTATTTTCATCAAAAAAATGTGGACAGAAATGAAATATATCACTGAACTATTTTATGTTTATGAACTAGTATGCAGATATAAGTTTATGAACTCATACATGTTCAGACATTTAGCTATGAGGCAATATTCCAGGAAGAGGTTTTTCCATCGGCCTAGACCTAGAAAAAAGACAATGAATTGCAGAAGCATAGAATAAAACAAATGGGCAGCGTGAGTAGGAAACACATCTGTGCTGTAACCCCACTGTGATTTGGGGACCATCAGTTATTACTAAGTGACCTAACCTGTCCTACTAAGACATATGCAATCAAATTATCTCCCTGGCCCGGAATTAGTGAATCATGCTTTTCCTATAAATTTCCACTAATTTTTAGAATGTGATAAATGAAGCTCAATGAGGTCAAATAATGTAGATCAAAAAGTCAGCTTCAGGATTTGGATCTGTCTAACTCCAAAGTCTGTGCATATACTTTAACTCCTTCTTCTTCAACATCCACATAACTGAAAGTTGGAGCTATATTTTATTTGCATTACTTCTTTCTCTCACAATAGTGTCAACATATCACAAAGCTAAAATTCACTGGTTTCTAAAATATCTAATCAAAATAAACATGTTAATTCCATAAGAAAGTTGATAAAATAATTTACTGTTTTTGACAGCTATTTCTAGAAGTCATAAAATACACGTGCTAAAGTCTAAGTCTATAATCTTGGGTTTATTATGCAAACATTCTGTCTAGACCACTTTAAAGGTACTTTAAATCTTTTATTGTTTTACATACAATAACTCAGACATTTATTAATATCAAAAAAAATGCAAAGTAATAAATTTGGTTTCTTTTCCCCACAAAATGGGAAAACATCTTGGTAAAGACAGTTTTTAACTAATTTTACATACCAGTTGGTTGTTGGGATTTATAGTTTTTTAAAATACAATAGCAAAATAATATCAACTAATGAGTACATAAAAAAAGAAAAGAAAAACAGTTTACAATAATATGGTAAGCAAAAAACAAAAATTATCATGAAATACCCTGTTTTAAAGTAATTTCAAACATTTCTATTATAGTACAGTTTACTCCTAACAACTCTGAGCACATTAAGAGCTTTTCTATACATACAAAGTCAATAACAAATTACCCGGTATTTATTTCAATGAAAATTAAAGATTACCATAATAATATGTAACTTAAATACCCCCCAATTATAAAGTGGCTTCTTATTCCTTAAACACAGAAATTCTGCTCTTCATGGTAGAAAGATGAAATCCTCTCATCAAAAGGCACATTCTTATCTGTAAGTAATAAAAACAGTATAAATGCTCATTCTGGAATAAATTAATAATGGATTTTAAAATATTTCCAAAGACTTATATGGCAGGAAGGAGATAAAAAATATTTAATCTAAAGAAAATTTAATAATGCAAATAAAACATGATTATTTTGCTTATAATACTAATTTTTAAAATATACATCTAAGTTTTTCAAAGGAATTTTAAATATAAGTAGTATGGATAAATAAAGACTATTTCATGGTCATACTAAAGATATACCCTCATGTAAGACTAACAAATCAATTTACTTATGTATACAGTATTATTTGTTTCTATAGTATCTTTAAATACAATTCTTTACTGATCCAACTTCTAAATCTTTAGAAATGAGAATTAATTGAAGATGTAGGTTAGGTTGGAAGTGTAATTTATGATAGAAACAAAAAAAGTTTTAATATTTATAATGTAACAAAATTTATACATGCAGAAGATCAGGATTTCCATAAATATAAAGTGAAGCACATTTGCCCATCTTCTTAACCTACTGACTACCTTATGGAAACATAAGCTTGTATTTTCATCGTACAATTTTTATAGATCTTACTTCTAATTACATATTAGACTTCACTGTTTCTTAATTCTAAGAAAATTCTGCTACTAAAAGCCAGTATATCCAAGAGCATTCATTTCATCAAATCAAAAGAACAGTCAAAGGTGCACAGATTTTACTGACTTACTGAATCTTCCTTTAACACTTACAACTTCATTTAATATATATATAAGAAAATGAGTAATTCTCTCTTTCAATTTGTTTTATCTGAATTTTTTTTTTTTTTAAGAATTTTTTTTTTGGGGGAAGATTTATTTATTCATTCATACAGAACTGGGGTACAGGCCAGAGATGCAGAGGGTGAGAGGATTCACCAGAGACAGAGCAGGGAGCAGAACAGGCAGATCGATGAAGTATACTGCTGAGGGGAGCAGCGGGCAGGTCAGGAGAGGTCTGCCTCGCCATGTGGTCACCTCCGGGGCAGGCGGGAATGAACTCATGCGGAAGTGGCTTCAGCTTCTTAGTCAGCGCTTTAACCCGCTGCGCCACCAGCCACCAGGGAGGGCCAGTTTTATCTGAATCTTTAGTAAGCAATCCTTACTAAGAATCTAAGTGATTGTTATTCTAATCATATGTTTTAACGTTCCGATAGAATGTGTCTGCCTTTCACATGCTTGAAACTCCTGATCATTTTGATAATGTATTAGTGGATTATGAAAAAAAAAATCAGTAAAATCAAAGTTGCAGTGTCATTTGGCACTATAAAAACACAGTATGATTAAGTGTCTGCTTTAGCACTAAGTAGCTTTTTGAACTTGGACCACTTGATAAGCTAAGGAACATCTAGCAACAGCACAGTAAGCTGTTTCATGATCTAAAAATCCCTAGTACACGATATATTTAACATACAGTTTCAGAAATGCATTTTCAGATTTATAATCAAATTGACAAGATACATCTACATGTATCATTATCCAACAATTTTTAAACATATTATTTTCCAGACTGAGTGACCGGCTTTCCTACTTAAAGTACTGCATTCTTTGAGATAGGTCCTACTCAGAATTCCATTCCAGATGTTTATATATTGTCTAGCACCTACTACGTGCTATATGGAACCATCTTCCCTTAATCTTTACCTAGTATAAATAAACTAGAGACCAAGTTATAATGAAGATGTTCTTTATCTGCAGGCCCCCTTATTCCTTATTCCTCTCATCAAGAGTCAAACCCATCATATTCCATTCTTAAACGTGGTTTTCTTCTATATCCTCTTAATTGAAATAATAACACCAACTACCTAATCATTATTCCGGTGGGAGTTCTGAAGTCCTCTTTGACAACTTCTTATCCTAAGTAAAGCTGCCTATTATTATCTTGTCAAAATGTTCATTTTTTTTCCCTCCTAAAATAGTCTTAGCCTTGCTTTGACACTTCTCACCTGATCAATTGAGAAAGCTTCAAAATATTGGAACTTACTTTCTTCCAGACTCAAATGTATCTTTCACAGGGTCACTAGAATAATTTCCCTAGAATACCTATCTCATGGTATTATTTCTTCACTTCACAAAAGTTGATGATTTATAATGACTATCACATGGTAAAATCTAAGTCCTTAGTATGTTGATTTCTTAACATGCCGTTTTGGTTTGGGCCCCAAATCTGACTGATTTTCTATGACCTTAGCATACATCCTGTGCTCCACACTCTCACACAGGTACTCTGCTGAAAAACTTTCTGCCCTGTCATAATATTATATTTAAATTTATTGTTTTTTCTTCTAGTTGAGGTAGCAATGGGATGCTCCCTATCAAGTATTACCAAAGTATTTTATATATTCATGTCTTCAGTGAAATCTCCAATGTTTCCAATGTTTCTATCCTGCCTCCATTTCTAATAACAGTCTGCAAAATATAGAGCATTAGCATGAACAGAGAAATATGAGAAATATAAGATTTCCTCAGTCTGAAGAGATGATATAGAAGTTACAGAAGGTGGAATCACACACACACACACACACACTCCCAGAGAGAATCAGTGTAAACTGTGGATGGAACTTTTAAAAAGAGGTATAAAAAAGAAAATAGGCACTTTGGGCAGAAGTGACAGCAATGGAGGTGACAGGTCAAAAAACAAGCAGAATTGCACTCCGTCCTAAGGACAGAAATTTATGTCACAGTTTATGAAGCAGACCTTTTGGATATTTTAATATTTCTGGCTTTCCAGTATATATTTCAGTTGTTGGCATTTTAGAACTGTTGTCCAAAAGGTGATAGTTGTTAAACAGCTACCATTGTCTTCATGTGCACAAAACTGATTAAAGCTCTTTACAATTGTCACTTCAGCTGAATTGTTGACACTGTTGACATTATAAGGAATAAGTTCTAGGGTGCTTAAAATGCCTTCATCAAGAAAGTAGCTAAATCATCTCTGAAACAAAAACTGTTGTATATTTGCTGAAAGAAATGAAAGAGGTCAGTACCATCTGAGTATCAGTGAAGCAAATGCTTATCACAAATATAAAGGTGTTTATTCCATAGTTTTACTGAAACAAAACCATTTTTTTTTAAATGGGAAGATATCCTGGTAGAAAAAAACACTACTTTCAGTTTTAAGAAAGGCATCTGAATGTAGAAGAAATTAGAAATTTGTAAGAAGGAATGAAAGATATAAAAATGTTGAGACGCTATTATGCACAATCTCTATATTACCTAAAAATATTATTTCACAATTATAATGATACTCTTTTGCCTTACTGCTACAACTTAAAATTAATAGCATCTTTTCTATGGAGTTGTACAACTCCATAGAACTTATTTTAACTTGAAGTGAAAGGTGAAAAGGGGTGTGAAGAATCTTTTAATTACTGATACTTAAATCTTGAATTGACAATGTTTAAGTCAGAAATTGACAAATTCTTCACCATTACAATTTAAGATGTAAAAAATAAAAATCTTACATCTTTACAACCATGATTTATAATAATGACATGTAGACCAAGTGCAGACAAATTTATTCCAAATGCAGAATCTCACTTGTTCACACATATATAACCATAGCGTTTAAGGCATCTATGATTTCCAATGTATTTAAAATAGGGTATATGATATTGTTAAAATGTATGTGCCATTAAGATTAATAATTAAATACACGTTTGATAATGACATTCATTCATTTATTCATCAAACATATTCTGAGTTTTTATTACCTGCCATGAATGTCGCTTGGTACGAGGAAGATGGTGATGAGAAACAAAAAAAAAAGAAAGAAAGATGAGATATGATAAATGTCATTCACTATCTCTTATTACAAAATTACAAGAAGTTCAAAATGGGTTTAGAAATGAGTCCAGCCACTGAATTTGAAAGGTGTCTTGGTAATAGGAAGAATAAAAGTTCAAGAGACTGATAAAAGGTCAGTTAGTGATCAGTAACAAAAACTCAAACATCAAGTCTATATAACTACACTCTTGCTCCTTATTTTTCCACAGTACCTCTATCATGAGAATTAGTTATTGAAATTTAAAGCCTAGATAAAATGTCAAATAATCTAGTGTGTTACCATTTAGAAAGTTTCCACTTCCTAAACAAATAGACAGCAGCAGTGGCAGAATGACATTGCTCTGTGCTCTACTCCATACTCTGATGGTCAAAAATGCCTCTCATTTCTCTACAGAACTGCTGCACATGAACAACAGTCCTCAAAACTCATGCTTTTATTGAGTGATTCCCAAGCTCAAACATTTTTCTCTTTCCAGGTGCCAAATTTAACCTTCAGATAATACTCTGACTAGTCAGAATGACATAAACTGTATAATGAACATTTGTTCTCTGCAGTATAGTTGCTAATAAAAATAATGACCTGAATGTATGAGAGAGAGGGAGAGTGGCAGGAAAAGGAAAAGGTTAAATGAAGGGAGAGACAGCAGACATCACAGATAAGCAGAAGAAAGGAACCAATACTAAGACTTTGGTTTCCTGATAGAATTAGACATGGCAGGGTGTCTTTCCTCTTATTCTCTTCTCGTCTGGAACATGGGCATGATGATTGCAACTAGCAACCATCTTAGTAAGAAAATGTGAAGAAAGTGTCTAGGAAACTGCATAGATTTGAACTTGGTCATTGAATCAATGCCAGAGTCAACCACTACACTTTTGTGATATGAGAAAAACTTTTGAGTGTAATTCTGAATATTCTATTACTTGTAAAAAAAACAAGTAAAATTTCTGGCAGTAGAGTGGTGGTTAACAGAAGCCAGAAGAGGACAAAAACAGGGAATTGTTATTCAATAGGTATAAAATTTCAGTTTACAAGGTAAGTTCTGGAGGCTATTGTACAACATTGCACCCATGGTTGAAAACACTGTATAGTACATATGAAAATTTAAGAGGGTAGAGCTCATTTCAAATATTCTTACTACAATAAAAAAAAAAATCACCATTATTTTCTATGAGTTAAAGCAAGTGTGTGGGACTAATAAATTTTATACAAACCTCAGTTTGAGTTATTTTCAAAGCTTCAAGAGTGTTCTGTCTCTACACATTGTACAGTGGTACAATAAAAAAAATACATTATTTTCAAGGACAAAAGCTAACTCAGAAAATATTAAACTATCAAAATGCCTATAAATCTAAATGAAATTTGAATGGAGAAACTGTTCTATGAAGTGAAAAGTATTGTTTCTTATGCATTTAATAAATCAAATAATAGATTCCAGGATAGTTTTTTCCCCTCAGATTCTTCTACAGAAATATGTCAGTGGATTTTAGAGAATGAGCACTAAGCCCAGACTGCTGAGAACGGTGTATGCCTTAATTATTGTGGTCAAGTCATTTCCCGCCCATAAACTTGGAACAGTGACATGACTAAGAGCTAGAGGTAGAGAGGAAGGACATACTTGGAATAGAATACAGCACGGATAAAACACTGGAGGGCTGAGAGAAAACAGTATGTTTGAGTAATTAAAAAAAATGTTAGGAAGTAGCTGTAATGTATGGGGTAAAAAGCACTTAATAACTGAGCAGTAACTTTACAATTGTTTTTCTAAGTGCCCACTAAGGAATTTAAAGTAGGTTGGCAAGATGATCAGGTTTTAGGGAAATAATATAGATTGCAAATCAGAAGACTAGAAAAAAAAGAAACACCATGAGAAAATTAGTATATTAATCAAGGAAAGAGATGAAGGAGGACTGAATTAAACATATTGGCAGTGAGTAAAAGAACTAACAGGACCAACTTGAGTGATGGTTACGAGAGAGAATCAATAGTGTTCAGTGAACAATTATTTCAGTTACCCTTTAGAGATAATATCTTTGCATGTACTTGTTGATAATATACATTTTTCTCTTGAATTGTGAATTGTCTTTATAAATGTGAATTGTCTTTATAAATTCTTTGCTAATTTTCCTAATTATTTGTTTACATTTTCAACATGTACAAACATTTTGAATACTAAGGAAAGTAAACTTTGTAGTGTCCCATGTACTGTAATATTTTTTTTTTACCTACAAATGTACCTTAAAAAAATATATTTACTTATGCATATAAGAACTGGGGTACAGGCCAGAGGTGTGGGGGGTGAGAGGATTTACCAGAGGCACAGTGGGGAGCAGAACAGGGTGATCTGTTGAAATATACTGCTGAGGGGAGCAGCAGGCAGGAAAGAAGAGGTCTGTTATGCCATGTGGGTCAGCTCCTGGCAGGGATCCAGCACTGCTAGAGGTAGCTTGTGCTAGTTCATAGCGCTGTGTCTTTAACCCCTGAGCCACAGCGGAAGCCCTACAAATATATTTTTTGATGTATTTTCTGGAACTTTTCTTGCTAATCAGTATATAGTTCATTCGTTCGTTCGTTCATTTCATTCATTCATTCATTATTTGCTCACTCAAAAAGAAAGGAAGAGAAATAGTCTCAAGAGCACATGGTAAAATGAAGTAAAGGTAAATTCCTACAGTAATATTCTCTTTGATTACCTGTTTCCTCAGTGACAGAGACAGCATAATTCCCTTGAAGAACATTAAGTACAGACTATTTTTCAGTGCAATTGTAACAAAGCACTGGAAAACCTAAAATTTGAAATTCTATCTAAAATAAACACTACTTTCTTTCACACATTGCTATATTCTACTTATATTGTGATAATGCCATGCTCAACATTTAGAAAAGTGTCTTAGAAATTACAGCTGTTTTTACATTGATAATTATTTTCAAATTGGTAACTTCAATAACGTTTTCTTAATGATGATTTCTGGTTAAACACTAATGTTAAATCTGCTCTTTGCTTCTGATATGCTGATGTTAATAACCAGAAAATATTTTGTGCAAGTAACAATAAGCACAGGTAATGGACAAATACAATATAATAGTAAATGGAATAAAACAGAATACAAGAAGCTAAACGAGTTTAGAGTTTATTTTTAAAATCACATAGTTGGCAAAAATTACTAGACTTGTTTGAAATGTTGTAGGCCCTAGTTTTTAAAACTGTCATCATGATTGTCCAAATGTCCATTAGGGAGCATCATTATAACTTAATAATAATAATGTTAGTAATAATAGTAACAATAATGTCTGAAGTAGTTGGGTAGAAATCAACATAATGGCAAGAAGGTATTGTTCCCACTTGTTTCATGCTATAAGGCTTTGCTTTAAATTACTTTCTGAGACTGGCTTTCTCTGATAAAAATGAAGGTAATTTTAATTAGCTATGTGCTATTTCTGGTTTCTCACGAGTCTTTCTAGTCAGGAGGACTGAAATATCTATAAGCGTATTTAGAACTGATATTTTTCAGTTTTAAAATTCCTTTGTGTGAAATATTATTTGTTAACTAAATAAAGTACCTCTAAATCACAAAACTGGCATATCCATAGCAAATTAAACAGACATTATATTAACAAGCTGCCCTTTTTTTTTTTCATATACCTACTAATTTTCCAACTTGACTGTGTTAACTTTAATACTAAAATTAAAAGGCATAGAGAAAGTTAGTGGTTATAGGATTAGCTCTTCAGTAGCCATTCAACCAAATGGCACTTCTTTTTATCACTCCCATTTTTCCTTCCAATATTTAGTTTATCAGTGGTCAGTTAAATGGAAAACAAAAACAAAAACAAAAACCAATGCTATTGAGAGTGTTTGAGGAAAACTGTTTTCACTTCTAAGAAAGGGGATACATGGGAATTTCCTAACTTCCATGGAAAGTTATCATTCTATGTGTGATTATAGAAACTTCAGAAGCCATCTTATTATTGGTCTAAAAATAAAGCCAACGAATGAAGGTGAGCAGAGCCAAGAAATCATGAAGAAGAAGAACCAAAGTGCTGGTTTACTGTGCCTGGAATTGGTCCTATCTGTGATATCTTGTTAAATTAAATTTCCCTTTTGAGGACCCTCCCTGGTGGCACAGCGGGTTAAAGTACAGCACAAAGAAGCTTAGGTCACTTCCACATGCGTTCAATCCCCGCCTGCCCTGGGGAGAACCACATGGCGAGGCAGACCTCTCCTGACCCGCCCGCTGCTCCCCTCAGCAGTGTACTTTGTCAGTCTGCCTGTTCTGCTCCCCACTCTGTCTCTGGTGAATCCTCTCACCCTCTGCATCTCTGGCCTGTACCCCAGTTCTGTATGAATAAATAAATCTTTAAAAAAAATTTCCCTTATGAAATCAAGATAAATCACATATTGGCAGCATTTGGTTCAATTTCATAACAACAACAAAATGTCTGCAAAATAATTACCCCAAATCCTAATTACCAATAACCACTATTAAATTTTGAATATTGGAAGTTACAATAAAAGCACCCCTCTCACAGAGCTGAATACAAAGGTTAGTTTTATACTGTGAAAAAATTGTAAGCAAGGAAATCAATTTACCTCGCTGGAAATGACTTATTTCCTGTTATTTTGTAGATGGAATTTGGAAAAATTAAGAGAAACTAATTTTAGAAAGCATTCAAACAACGAAGGCAACATCATCAATAAAAGATGATCCAATAAAATTGCCAGCATTTACTCTATACACTAATCTGAATCTACATTGCATTTGGAAAGCTGGGCAAATCAGAATATTTATATTCTTTATTTTGGAGAGCTTCACTTCAAAAATAAAAAGTAATAGCAAGTGCTATAATAGAAGACAGAATGAGTAGAAATTATATTATTCTCTTTATATAAATCAAATCAACATTTAACAATGGAATGAGATTGTATCAAGAAGAGAAGCCTACATTACTTAACTAAGTCTTGGTCTTCCTATCTTTAAAATGAGAGCAAGAGGAACTACTTTACAAAACTATCTAGATGGTTTCATTGTGCATGAAGAATTCTAGTTGTTGCCTGGTACATTTACTAACAAGTTACTAACAGTCACTCCAATTGTAGTTCTGTTACCTAACTCTACAGACTCCTCCCTGGGTTCAGTGACAGAACACTGGAGCTTATGCCTCCTAAGATACCCTACCACTATCATCCATTCTCTTGGCCTCTTCTACCATTTCTTTTTTTTTTTTTTTTAAAGATTTATTTATTTGTGCATACAGAACTGGGGTACAGGCCAGAGGCACAGGGGCAGTGAAAGGGTTCACCAGAGACAAAGTGGGGACCAGAGCAGGCAGATCGACAAAGTACACTGCTGAGGGAAGCAGCGGGCAGGTCAGGAGAGGTCTGCCGCGCCATGTGGTTACATCTGGGGCAGGCGGGAATCGAACTCATGCTGAAGTGGCTTTAGCTTCTTAGTGCTGTGCTCTAACCAGCTGCACTACCAGGGAGGGCCCCTCTCTACCATTTCTATGGCTGTTTTGGAAAGCCCTAGGTGAAGGTACTCTCTTAGGATCTAAAAGACCTTATTTATTTTAATGCACTCTCCATGTTAAGTATTAGCTTTTCCCCTTTGCATTAAATCTAAGTTTATATCCCTGTGATTTCTTAGGAAAAGTTTTACTGTTCAGTAGATAGATCTGAGAACAGACAAAGCTACACTATCAACTCATAGGTTATCAGTCCTATAATTTTGGCATGAAACAATAAAGTAAATCCAAAATATCTTCAGAATGAAATATGAAAATCAAGTTTATAATATTACACACACACACACACTCACTTTCTCTCCCACTCTGCATCTCTTTTTCAGCTAATACACTTTGTCAGTATGCAGCAGTTAAAAGAACAATATTCTGCAGGGAGCTATACACTAAGGGTTTCTTTATGGGATCGTGTTCTATTGTTTATGTCTATTTTGCCTAAACAATGTCAATATGAGCTGTTTAGGTAGCATAAAAATATTACTAGTTCCTTAATAATTAAGTCCCTTATTTTTCATTAAATAAAAATTGAGTAAAATCTGTTAGGATAGGGTTCTTTATGGAGGTGCAAGGATAAGCCCGGCCCTATGAACCTATCCACAGCCATTGCAGAATGAGTTTGATTCCTGGCCAGGGAGGTGACCCACATGGCTTAGCAGACCTCTCCTGTCCCACCCGCTGCTCCCATTAGCAGTGTATTTCAATCTGCCTGTTCTGTTCCCTACTCTGACTCTGGTAAATCTTCTCACCTCCTATACATCTGGTCTGTACTATAGTTCTTATATGCAAAAATAAGTAAATACTTTAAAAAATAAAACCTGTTAGGATGGAAACTGTTCAAATAAATTCTACTCTATATATATATTTTTTTTTTATCCTGCCATGTACTTGTATAGAATTAAACTGCTTGGCACTTACCTTCGAGGATGATTGGCATCAAACAATGTGTTATCATCGTCCTCATCATCTTGTTCTAATGGTGTCAATTCCATATTTTCTATGTTTGTGTCCAAAACTCCGTATCTCCTAGTCTTTCGGTTTCTTTTTCTCATCCTATTAAATAGAACACATTAATGAAAAAAAAATTGAATATAGTTTGGTGATACTTATATTATACTATGTTCTCCTTTAGTCCTATATATAAACACTGTCTTCCAAACCTGACTCCAAGCTCTTTAAAAACAAGAACCTATTTTATAACAACACATTGTAACACATGGTACAGGTGGTTCAATATCAATAAATTTAACATTTTAATAAATGGTACTAACTCATACAAAATAAGTCAAATAAACTACATATTGCTAAACAGAATTTAAACTTGAAATGGAACTTCTCTAAAAACATCTTTCCTAAGTTCAAGGATATAACAGTGAAGGCAACATTAGTCATGACAACTAAATGATCATAAGAAACATCAAGTGTAATAAAATACATATATATATCCATATGCAGTAATTTTTCTCAGGGAAAATCAAAAACTCTTGAAAGGATTCAATTGTTGGCCTGATTCAATGACAATCCACTTAAAATATTGAAAATTATGTGTAAAATATAATGCATGTGAACATGTTAACATTTTAAGTACAATATACGTATATATATTTAATATGAAATAAGCATTATCTTTAAGCAGAGTAAAGGAGACTTTAGGCTTAAGAATTTTTTTTTTAAAGATTTATTTATTCGTACAGAACTGGGGTACAGGCCAGAGATGCGGAGGGTGAGAGGATTCACCAGAGACAGAGTGGGGTGCAGAACAGGCAGATTGACGAAGTACGCTGCTGAGGGGAGCAGCGGACGGGTCAGGAGAGGTCTGCCTCGCCATGCGGATCTCTTCCAGGGCAGGTGGGATCGAACTCCTGCGGAAGTGGCTTAAGCTTCTTTGTGCTGTGCTTTAACCCGCTGTGCCACCAGGGAGGGCCCAGGCTTAAGAAATTTTAACTGTTAATGTTCTTCCCCTACAAGGAATGTTTCACTAGACTCATATCATACTTGCCCAAATGTGTAGATAATTACATACATATAGTTATATATAAACACATTTTTCTATAAGACAGTAAATACATACTGTAATCTGCTAATAAAGTCTTAGTAGGGACACATATAGAAATGTGTAGAAAGGGAAATACAGCAGCTGAAGAGGGTCAAAGAATAACTATCTGGTGTATTACATTGAAATATATTTAAGTAAATGATCTTGATCAGATCCCTTCTATGTGATCACTTCACTATTCAAATAGCTGATCCATATAGATACAAACTGCTCAATGTTCCATTTAGACTCAGGTATGTAAGAATTATTTCTGTTTAAATAACATGTAAAAGGAACAGTAGAAAAATAAAACCAGCCTACTAAAATAAGCTTGATAAAATTTTATGTAAAAATGTATTATGCCACATAAAATAAACACAACAGAATAAAATTCTATTTTACTATTCTATAAAACAGAGAAAAATCGATCACTGTAACTTGTACCTATGGGAATTCGTTCTTTTTGTTTTATTTTAACTGATGCCTTTAAGATATCATTAAGCATGGGCTAGCATAAATAATAATCTTAACTTCTATATCATTTTCAAAACTAGACTGAGGGACTTAGTGTTTATTCTATATACATACATGTCCTATGTGATTAGACATAATGACAAGGGTGAGTAAATCTTAATAAATTGATGTATGACTGATACAGAGATTTTGTCTTATTTTTGTAAAAGGGTAAATTACATGGTGGAGTAACCCATGTTAGGAAAATATCTTCATAATTACTCCAGAAAACAATTTAATATCTCATACATCTTGCACATGAGCTTATTGCTGGAAGATGCCTATAGTCGAGTGCATGTTGCTGGTGGAGTGTGGAGAGAGAGGATTCATATATAGACATACAGGAGCATGGTATACAACTCCACCGAGACTTGCCAGACCAGGAACAACCAAAGAGGGGCCAACATCTCTAGAACCACTGCACAAAGGAGTGGTGCACTCATGCCACCAATCCTAAACCCAGTAAAATCTGAAGGTTGAGCTTAGGAGACACTGAAACTCTGAATTTTCACAGCCTGGTATAGGAGGGTTGACACGTCCCTTTTTCCTCCAACTCCCTTTTAGAAGAAGCACAGATATCTGTTTCCAGCATTCCAAGCCTCAACCTCTATCAGTTATAAAAACCCTATTTCTCCAAGGCTCCTTGCCCACTATAGCCAGGTGAGCTCCATCTACTATAAGGAAAACTGACTGCTGCTGGGTAAATGTGACGCTAGCATACCTGGGTCCGCTTGCTCAGCAATCCCAAAAGCCAGCCACCATCCCCTGAGGGACGTCTGGGTTCCCCTCAGTTCCCAGCCAATACAGACTAACCAGCACCATTTCCTGGACTATCCTTGTCCCCAGAAGAAAGAACACTGACTGCTTTGTGGACATGAAGCTGACACACAGGCTGGTCAGCCATCTAGGAGGGAGGCCCCGAAAAATACTTTCTTCTCCTCTGCCTATTCTCCCAGGATTACCCTGAACTCCTAGTAAACCACAGCCAGACAAGAGCCAATTACCAAAAAGAGCACTGGTTCCTGGGCAAGAGCTGAACTAATGCAACTGGGACCGCTGGCAGTTAGCTTAACACTTCTGAGAATGTGTCACGTATTCCCCACCCACACTCCCAGGGCTTCCTAGCCTAGCCTCCTGTTTTCTCCTGGAGGAGCACATACCAGGACAATCACTAGTTATATGGGAATGTAGCTGGTAGCATCTGAGATAGTTAGGCTTAGTATCCAAGAAGCACCAGTCCTTCCTGTGTTTGGGCTAGGCAGGCATTTGGACAGCTTACTTACCAAATAATGTGAAAATTCTCATGATATATTACCACAGCTAGGTGGCACAGCCCTCTGCTTGTGCCAGAGCCAGAAGGGAAATGCAGCGCCATCAAAACCTTCTGAGTTGGGACTAGAGTTCTAAAGGATCAGCTTTCAGATCACCAGTGGATTACCATGAACAGACTTGACTAGACAGGTCCCTCCTGATGTGGGCCCAAGTGGCTGCAGCACTTAAGAATGTTTATGCAGGGCCCTCCCTGGTGGCGCAGCGGGTTAAAGCACAGCACTAAGAAGCTAAAGCCACTTCTGCATGAGTTTGATCCCTGCCCTGGAGGTGACCACATGGTGCCGCAGACTTCTCCTGGCTCACCTGCTGCTCTCCTCAGCAGTGTACTTTGTCAGTCTACCTGTTCTGCTCCCCACTGTCTCTGGTGAATTCTCTCACTGCCCTTGCACCTCTGGCTTGTACCCCAGTTTTGTGTGTATAAAAAAATCTTTTTTTTTTTTTTTAAAAAAAAAAAGAATGTTTATGCACTTGGCAACTGATTGCAGGAGCTACGCATCCCCCACATCTCCAGACACCAACCTAGAGACTGGGTTCTGGGACTACCACTTCATGCTCTAGTTCTTGAGCCGGAGTCACCTTGACTGGTAATCAGGTTTTAATCAATATAATAATAGAAAGTACAACATCCAATATCCACAGCCTAGGTCAATATACCGCATTGCAATCTTAACACAAGACTGTCAGAGCAGGACTGAGAAGGAAAGTAGCCTTGCTTAATGCATGTAAATAATCACAGAGCATCACAGAATGACGAGGTGGGTGAATTCACTCTAATTGATGGTTCAAGACAATAAAACGAGAAAAATCCTTAATACAACAGAATAAAAAAGATGGATTTAACCAAACTACCAGAAGAAGATATCAGAGCAAGTCTTAATAATGCTTACTGAAATAAGCAGAATGCTCAATGAGCTAAATAAGAAACACAGTACAGACAGGTAAATGAGAAAGAAAAGTTCCTACTAAACTAACACTCAGAAGCCTAAGAAATATCTGTTAAACACATTATTTAACAGAAATCCATGGCTTCACAATATTGTTTGAATTTTTTCTCTGTAACAAAGTTATCTATAATTTTATGTAAGATTCATCCCTCAGATTTCTAAGGGATGAGAAATCTGATAGGTCATTATCTCCAGAAACATACCACAGCAAAACCTAGGGGACATCACCAATTTTCAATTCATAATATGGATAATAGGCTTTTGTTTTAAGACCAAAAGGAAAGGTAATTAAATAATTAAACATATCAAACATTTATTCATTCTAGGACTTCATTTAGATACTCACTTAGAATGTTACAGGTAAAACCTAAATCTTCTTTTAAGACCCAAATTAAAACCACTAACATTTAACTACCAACAAATATTGTATCCTGTGCTGTGGGGTTTCATTTTTATTTGGAGGGGTACATAAATAAATGTACCATACTGCAACATGGAATTATTGTTCAGTTACACACTAAATAACTACAAATTACCTTTCAAAAGTGAAATTGAGTTCCCCACTCCCCTCTTTTAATTCTACATGCACCATATCCAATGCTAGAGATGCCAGAGATATCCTGTTTTAGTATACAAGATAAAATACATTTAAATAAGTTTATTTTATCCTTTTTGATTTCTCTGGTGCATACTGTACTCTTCTGTAAGGCTGGAATTAGAACTCAGAGTCTGACTCCCATTAGGTTACAATGAAGTCATATCAGGATAGAAAAATGAAAAAAAAAAGTCAATAAAAGAAAAATAATTCAAGAATGAATGAGAACTAACAAATACAGCCAAACTCTTTAGAATAAATACCCTCTGATAAAATAAAAATAACTTATTTTTTCAGTCTAATAAAGTCTGCTTCATTTACTAAACATCTGACTACAAACTCTGTGCTCTGTACTAGGTAGAACATGATATAGAGCCTAAGTTTTTCCTCGAGAGTATTATTTTACACCAAATTCTGATTTATCAGAATTTTATACCTTGTATACATGACTATCCTGATATTTTACCAAAGAAACAAAATTAATATTTACTATTTTAAATGACTTAAATGTTTTAGAGAAGTTAAGTTTCATCTCTGCAAAGGACATGAATTCCTTATATACATTTGCAACTTCTGGGTCTCTGTCCTTATATGTAAAATATTCAATATATAATATGCAGCTGAATAATTAATGGCAAACCAGGTCAATTTAAACTTGCTAGGAAAGGGGCCTCATTAAAGCACAGCATTATAAAGCTATAGGCAGTCATCGAGCACTACTTCAATCCCTGGCCAGGGAGGTGACCCACATGGTGCAGCAGACCTCACCTGTCTCACTGCTGCTCAGTAGTGTATTTCATCCATCTGCCTGTTCTGCTCCCCACTCTGTTTCTGGTGAGTTCTCTCACCCCCTGTACTTCTGACATCTATTCCAGTTCTTTTATGCATAAATAAGTGAATCTTAAAAAAAAATAAACTTGCTAGGAAAATTAATTTTTCTAAATATATATGCAAATGGAATGGAAAGTCTTTGAGGGCAAGGACTTTTCCCAAATTGAGTGATGCCGATTCTCTACACAGGGCCTAGCTGTGAGTGCTCAATAATAGATAATGAACAAAGAACAGAGAATAAATGAATGTACAAACAATAAAATAATGAAAGTGTTCCCTGGCTTTGCCTAAACTCAGTGATCTACTGATGGCTTACTTTTACAAGTCATGCTGACAACGTATGTCTTCTGGGAAAAAAAGAAAATAAATTTCTTAAGGAAAATTCTTAAGGAAACTGATGGGAAAGATACTGTTACCAAGCCTACATCATAATAATTCAATAAGACTTGTTTCGGGGGGTGGGGGGGTTTAGGTAAAAGTATGTATGGTCAGAAGTTGATTTAAAAGATAACCATTATTTGACTATTCTAGGAAATTAATAAAGAAAATCTCTGGAAGACGGGTGGCGGCTTCAGAATATTAAATTATTTCAACGTAGTATGTACTCAAAGTACAATTAAGTTGCTAAGTTGACTTATTTTTCAAAAGTGAAATTGAGGGGCTTTAACAGAACAAAACTCATCTGTTTTAAATAGGCACTGTGTGCAAGTGATTTTTTTTTCCTCCATAAATTAACTAACCATCCTTACATGCAATACCACTTCAAATTGGTTAGCCACTGGAAGCAGAATGTTGAAAAAGTTCAAACAGATTTTGGTTTTAATACTGTTTTGCCAGTTATTTAACTTTGCTTGGTCTCAACAATGTCATCTGTACAAGAATATTACCTACTTGGGAAGTTTGGTAAGAACTGGAAAATGCATGTATATGGTGACTTACATTGGAGACCTAAACAATAAATGTCGGCTATTATGATAGCAAGTAAGCATCTCAGAAGTCTTCCCATTACAAAGAAAGATTTTTTTCAAGAGAACTAATTTTATGTCTTAGCCTGTACATGTGGTAACCATTCAAATTAAATTAACACCATGCATTTATGACAGGATAAACTTTAATATCTATACATACCATCCTGTACATTCTTTATTATCTATGTGATTGATTAATGTTCTCTGCATAGCACAGGGGCAGAAATATCTATTTCACTTACAAAAGTACCAGTTCCAAGGCTGAAAAAATAAGTAATTCCTATGCTTTTAAGGCAAGGAATTATTATTCACAAAATAATACCAAAATTGTCTTTATATAACCAACAGGCGTTCTCAAAAATAATAATTGTACAGAGTAGTATTTTCTTGCTTTATAAATTTTACCATAAGAAAGTCCTATAGAGAAGGAAATCTAAGCTACTGCAGTCTGAGTTCAATCCCCAGCCATAGAGCTACCCACTGGTGCAGCAGACTGTTCCTGTGTCTCCCACTGCTCCCTTTAGTAGTGTATTTCAGTAAATACATCTGTTCTTCTCCCCACTCTGTCTCTTTGAATTCTTTTATCCTCTACACCTCTGGTCTTGAAGGCATGATTAAATAAATCACACACACACACACACACACACACACACATATAAACTTGTTAATATATATTCCTCACAAACTTATAGGAAAATATGTAATTTTGAAAATAGTCTTGATCTAATATATTCCCTGAAAAGGTATTAAAGAACCCTCCCATCTCACAGGGCCTCCTGAATCACATGTCTCCAAACATTTACACTTTTTCTGTGAGTTATTTAAGCCAAGATGTTGGGTTTTTCATCCATGACAATAAATTTGTTTAAAGGGGTTTAAATAATTTAAAAAATATATATTAAATGAGGGAAGGTGGATAGTTTTGGAGTGTGGGGTAGCAGTGGAATAGTTTGGAAAACAATACAGAAGTGCATTCCTGCAAACCTGTCCTCACTCTGTTTTATAGAGGGTGAAACTACTTAAAGCTCCCTCATTGTTGGCTGGCTCCTTCAAGTCGAGTTGTCTTAGCTCAGTAATTCATTTCCTCAGAGAGATTCCCCAAGAATTCACTATCATTCACATTACGTAGCAAGACTATTTTAATAGCACGATAGGTGAAAATTGCTGCTAAGGAAGAAATTTTCTTCTAAATTTCATAAAGGACCCATAATAAGGTCCTTCTGCTCTATTAATCCATTCCAATAAAAACTGATTTGTACAAAACAACTCTAAAACTTAGAAAGGCTACTAAATAGGAATTCTGCTAAAGAACTTTGCACTCTGATAGGCAAAATGTCAAAGTACACAACAATATAAGGAACAGGAAGAAAGAAGTATTATAAGACAGTGCAATACTTGTCTTGTAATGGAATATAAGATTACTTCCACTTGGGGATAAGTGTGTTCATGGAAGCCAGGTATTTGGAGGCAGATATTAATTTATATAATTTGTAAATGAAAGTGAGCAACAACTTGGTTTAAATTCTCCCGAAGGTAAGAACAGACCATCTTCACAAATTTCACAAACTCTCTCAGGCAGGCACCCCTGATTCTAGGGGCTGGGTGGGGGCAATGCCAGGTCACTAAATCCTTCTTGCTCAAAGGTCAGCAGGCATCCCCATCTCTCAGCCCTGAGGGGGAAGCTCATGGAGGCTTCGCCTCACCTGACTGTCCTGACGACGAAGTACACCAGCACCGCGCCGCTCACCACCATCAATATTGTCAGGGCTCGCTGGGTCATGGGTTTGTCGCCGGGGTTGGGGCTCACCGCGAGGCCACCACCCACTGAGCCTTCCTCCCCTGCCTTCCCTCCTTGGTCGTCCGCGGCAATCCCCGCCCCGGTGCTGTTGCCATGGCCGCTCAAAGCCCCCTGAGGCCCAGTGGCTTCGGCTGGAGCGCGGCCCTGAGAGTGGGCTGCTGTGGGGCCGGGTTGCAGAGGCCGCAGGGTTCGTGGCCCTTCTTTAGGAGGGCCAGGGTCTGGCGCCGCCTCCGCCGCCTGCAGCAGCACCGCCAAGGGCCCTCTGAACCCTGGCAGCAGAAGCAGCAGCAGGAGGGCGGAGGTCAGGATGCGGCAGAAGCAGCAGCTGCAGCGCCGGGCCTTCATCGTCCCCTGACAGCCCTTTTACCACGCGGGAGCCGCCAGGCCCGGCGCCCTGGCTCCAGGAGGCACCATGGGCGCTGCGGAGAAAGAGGAAGGAGTGATCAAATCCTGGGCTGAAGCCCGGCCGCAGCAGGTGGTAGAGGCGGCAGTGGCAGCAGCTGCCGGGAGAACCGGAAGTTCGTACATCTCAGCAGCCACTGCTACCACGGACGCTTTCAGTTACCAACATGTAGGGGGCAGGCGCGTTCAGTGACGTCAGGCACTCAGGGCAGTATGCGCGCGCGCCCTGCCCTAGGCGGGGGATCGAGTTCTGGGAGGGGTCACAAATAAGGAAGTGTTTATGGGATAGTGGAAAGCGCGCAGCCACTCTGCGTTTGGCAATCGTCAGGAATTGGGAGCGCATAGTTTGAGTTTATTGCACTAGAAATGCAGAATCAAAGTTAGTTATTGACTAAGGTGAGCTTGCCATTTTCCTGAGTTTAAATGTACACTTTAGAGAGCTTTCATCCTGTCTGCAGGTCTCTGGCTTTCCTTTCGTTAGAATATTTTTTTAAAAATAAAAAAATGTCGTAAATTCGTTCTCTGTTATTGTTGGATGAAAGCTTTTTTTTTTTTTTTTTTTAAGGACTTACCTATTTTACTGTCGTTTTTAAGGATCTGGGAGACATCCTTTTGAAATGTAATCAACAAAGAAGATAGTACCCCTATCTCACAGTCTCTCCAGAAAGGTAGGAAGGTAATATGAACAGATGAATTATTAGCCTTAAGTTATCTGAACAAATACCTTAGCCTTAAGTTATCCTGTCATGACGCCAAGAGAAAAAAGCTTTTTTTCCCTTTGTGTAAAACCAGTTAATAAATATTGGTGACATGTGGCTTGTAATGCTCCCTAAACCTGCTATTTAAATTTCTTAAGTCCTTTATTTTTTTCTATGAAGTTGAGCTCAGAGTGCTGGTCTAACTTCTGTATTGCGATGTTGAAGAAAGTCTTCCTTACCTTTTTAACTATGACACCAATAATTTGGAACTTAGGTTTCAGCATATATTAACAACAGCAACAGAACCTGACCAGAAGACAAAAATGATTTGTAATTTTTAGAAAATGTACTCATTCAGCAAATTGTTTAGATTTCTTACTTCTGCCTTAGAACTGTACTAAATTCTAAGTATTGGGTAGTAAGTAAGTTGTGTTCCCTACCCACTTAGTGCTTTGGTTCTAATGCAATTAACACAATAGCTTATTGTACTCATTCTGAATTCTGAACTGTGTACTTTAAATCACAAGTAAGTGAAAATTTGGTAGAGTTATTATTATCGGTAGATGGACAAGACTGGATAGTGTCTTCCTGCAGCTCGGACATAACACCTAAGGTAGTTCTCCTGACTGAGAGACTTGTATGGACTAGGCTTCAAAAGACTGGGTTCCTATGAGGAAGCCTGTTGAAGACTCACCGTAATTTCAGCTCTCGGACTTAACGTATATTAGTGATTCAGTGACTCCTAGGTTTCCTATATCCCTTATTTAGAACCTTATTTAAAGCTATACTTGGAAGAGAGTTGTTACTTAATGCCACTCACTTCCACCCCCTCAAAAATAAAGAAGTTCAACATTCATTAGCTTCGCACCCCTATTCCCTATCCCTCAAAATGTATTGCCATTCCTTTCTTAAAATAACTCATTTTGCCATTGCTTCCTCCTCCTGATAAATAATATGATTCATCTTGCAGTTGCTCAAGTATTTACACCAATCCTTGCCAGTTATCTGGGATATGGAACATGCTAAGTAATTCTAAAACAACAGACTCAAAGGAATGGTTCCAAATGGTTATAACATATCAAGTGCTTATGTTCCTCAAAATAGAAGTGTAACCTGAACCTTAATTAGAAAAGGAGTTTGTTAAAAATGAGTTTTGGGTCACTACTCCAGAAATATAAGTACACACACACACACACACACACGTGTGTGTGTGTGTGTGTTTGTGTGTATATTTTTTAAATATTTATTTATTTATGCATACAGAGCTGGGGTACAGGCCAGAGGTTCAGGGGCAGTGAGAGGATTCACCAGACACAGTGGGGAGCAGAACAGGCAGACTGACAAAGTACACTATTGAGGGGAGCAGCAGGCCGGTTAGGAGAAGTCTGCCGTGCCATGTAGGTGAGGTCACCTCTGGGGCATGGGATCTAACTCATGCTGAAGTGGCTTTAGCTTCTTAGTGCTGTGCTTTAACCCTCTGCGCCACCAGGGAGGGCCCTCCTTTTTATATTTTATCTTCTTCCAATTAAGGATTTCTATGACTTGAGTTTCAATCAACAATTATTGGGATAATGTTGCATAATCAATAACCAAAAAGATCTCAGTAACATGAAAATAGGCATTTATTTCTCACATGCTTTTGGTCAAGCTGCAATTAACTGATTTAAGCTACTTAAAAGCAAAATTAAAATCAAATCTTTTGAATTTTAATATCAGCTCATTTTGCAGTAACTGTTTTCTAATCTTTCATTAATACTATACTTGATCAAATAATTAGTAAAAAATAAGAATTTTCTCTGCAATTTCCATGGAGATTTAGAACTTTGAAGAAGAGTGAAACTCCAGTTAGTAAGGAAAAAAGTTTTAGAATTAAACTACTTTTTTTTTCACTCCAAATAGAATTGAAAAGTATTTAGCATGTACAAAAAAATTATTTAATAGCATGATGCCATTAAAATTTATTTGACATGTAATGGAATTTATGGTTTGTAAACCACTTTGGCATTGTTAATTGACAGTAGCAAGTGATTTCATCAAGTAAACACTTTAAGTATAATGCAACATTCTGTAATACTCATCTCAAAGAATATCAAAGGGTGATAAGCATAATAGGGCAAGGCAAATATGTAAAAATTGCTATTTAAAGAAAAATTTAAGAATTTTTTTCTAAAAATTAATCAAATTGTATACTTTGATTACTGTATAAGTATTTTCCTAAATACTAATGACATTCAGGTTTCCACATTCATGATCACTAGTAGCAATCTTCACTGACATACAAAAGAAGAAGACTATAGGTATGCCATCAAAAAGTACTTCCCTCTCACAGACAGTTACAGACTTGTGATTTTGGTTTTGTAGAAGGGGTACAGTGAAATAAAACTCTGATGACTACCTACCTATAGCCTTAGTAATACTCTGAAATTTGTATGAATCTTATGGGTGAACCCTAAAGGTGTATAAGAACTGGCTTTGGAGAAGTACAGAATTTGTATACAATGTATATATATATTTTTAGAGATCTTACTGAATCTGTGTGAGACATATAGTGATTTTTGTTAAAGTGTCAGATAAAATAAATAAAAGAAAGTAAAAAATGGAAATTCCAGTGTTAGATATCAGTACAGTTCTTTTGTTGGATTAACAAACACCTTTAACACAAATCCCTCAAGGATCCTAATAAATATAGCAGTTTCTCCGAACGTACAGTGAATATCTTGACATGTGAAAACTGCATATTGTCTCGTTACAGAATAAAAAATAAGAAAAGCAAGTATCCAGGAATTATGTCAATCAAGATTAATTATTATTTTGCTTGTCACTAGATTAAAAAATATATATTTTTCATTCCAAGAATCTATCAGTCAAATATTATTGATAAGAATTTTAATTTTTAAGTTATTTATTTATTTATGCATACAGAATTGGGGTACAGGCAAGAGGTGCAGGAGAGGTGAGAAGATTTACAAGAGACAGAGCAGAACAGGCAGATTGCTAAAGTACACTGCTGAGGGGAGCAGCTGGTGAGACAGGAGGATCACCTCCTGGGGCTGGGGATTGAACGCACACTGAAGCCCCACTGTGACTTGCTTGCAATGCTGTACTTTAACCTGTTGTGCCACCAGGGAGGGCCCAGATGACAAATTTATAAATGAATTTTATGATTTGGTGTCATTCAATCATTCAGTCATTCACTCACTTATTCACTTCAAATGATGAAACCTTTATGAACACTACATAGACATCCTAAGACCTCTTTGGGAGCTGAGTCATGTCCATACTTCCATGGTCATTGGTAAGTCTGACTTCTCTTCCTGATCATACTTGTTCAGGTTTTGCAATGAATTTTCATTAATTTAAAATTATCACTCATGTTTTCACTTACACATCAGATTATTATACAAATTGAGGTAAGTTTTCTAACATGTAAGATAGTGTGTAGTAAAAGTTGATAGGAATATTGAAAAGAAATTAGATGCCAAAAAGACAAGCAAAAATGAGGAGTGCATAGTTCATGCAATTTTGTTTGCTTTTGTCCATTATAAGTAATACTGCATTATAACATTATATAAGAGTCAGATTTTCATTGCTGAACATAAGGATGTGTATAGACTTTATAATTGCACCAATAAACTTACAAAGCTATTCTTTATAATACCATAAATTCCTTTTCTCCAGTGTATCCAGCCTTCCTGTTTCCCTTCTTTGTATCACTAATTAGTTTTTTAGTTGTAAAGTTTATTTTGTTTTATTTAGTCCATCCGTTTGTTTATTTTCTGTATGTACCACATGTGAGTGAATATTATGGTGTTATCTTTCTCTGACCAATTTCACTAAGCATAATTCCCTCTAAGTCCACCCATGTTATCTCAAAGACAGGATTCCATTCCATCACTTTTGCCACTTAGTAGCATTCTGTATCAATGCATCTTCCAGTATACACATCTCTTCAAATTAGTGTCTTTGTATTTGGTTGTTTAATACCAACTAATATGATTGCTGGAACAGATAAACATTTTTTTGAGGAATCTCTGTATTGTTGTTCAATACAGAGATTGCAACGATCGTAATGGTGGGAATGATCCCACCAACAAAGTACAAGGGTTGCCTTCTCTCTAACACTTGTTTCTTATGTTTTGTCTAAGATCAATTTTCAAAGGTGTGAGATAAAGTTTCATTGTTGTTTTCACTTACATTTCTCTAATAATGAGAGATAATGAACATATTTACATATGCCTATTGGCAAATTTATAATTTATTTTTAAAGAAGTGTCTGTTCAGACACTGCCTGTTTGTAAATTAGGATGCTTTTTTATTTATTTATTTATTTATTTATTTATTTAAGCTTTAGAGTTCTTTGTAATGTTTGGCTATTAACACCTTATTGAATATATGGTGTGCAAATATCTTTTCCTATCCAGTAGGATGGCTT